TGTCGCATTTGAATTGATATTTTTGCTATACCGAATGGCATGCGTGTCACGGCTGAAAATTCACCCGTCACGAATGTATAAAAGCGCCCTTTTGACTTGATAGAGACAAGGTCAACAGAGCATCGAAACCTAGGCCACTTCGTTCCCCCAAAAGTGCTGTCAAAACTCAGAAGCAGAGCTCGAAAATGCATGGCGATAAGGGATGTAGCGTGGCGTGTTTATAAGGTTAACCCTTACTCATACACTTGGGACAATTTCCAGACCCAGCGCGACTATTGTACCACACTTGTTCGTAAGGACAACGTTACCTATCGATAGTGCTTAACCAAAAGGTTTCTGGCAAACAACAAACTGTTGTACAGGCATGTCAACCGCCTTTGTAAAGAGATGGTAAGGTACAGAGCGCAGGAGAAGCAGCCAATGCACTATGGCTACAAAACACCCCGATTTTTCTAACTCGTAGCCTGCCCCTGTCACATACCCACATTCACTTTGCTGACTCCAGGGTATACACATTTAGTTTTCAACCCAGCAACTGCGTTAAAGAAGCTGCTCTCTTTGCGTGATCACAACTCTCCGAGAGCAGACAATATCCGCCCAAAAGCACTGAAGGCTGCGGCCACCAAGCCAGCTGAACCACTGTCACAGTACTCCCAAAGATGCGTGGCATTATAACCCAAAAGTTAAAGGCGGCAGCCGTTCAGACGTTGCAAACTATCGCCCAGTGACACTCCTCCCTGCGCTCGCGAAGATGATGGAAGCGGTCGTCGCTGAGGCTCTAATGGACTATTTGGAGAAATTCAAAGTTTTGGCACTGGAGCCGTATGGCTTCCGCCAGCACCGGTCATGCACCACTAACCTGCTGATGGCACTAAGTAGTCGGACGGAAGTAACCGGAGGCCGATGTGAAGTAGACGTCATCCATCTGGACTTTTCCAAACCTTTCGACCGTCGGATCACCGCATCCTACTTCAAAGGCTACAGAATCAGAGATGCTGTTCTTGGTTGCATGAACAATTTGCTTCACCAACGGAGGCTTCAGCTGCGTGTTAGGGGATCACTCTCCAACCTGATTGAGGTGGAATGCAGTGTTCCAAAGGGTTCGATGCTGGGACCGCGCTTGTTTCTGTGTTTATCAACAACCTGGCAAGAGTTATCTCCCCCAATTTCCATCTTTTCACCGACGATGTTAAAATAAGGAAGATCACGAATTTCTCCATGAAATTGATTGCGTTCATGAATGGTTAACGAAGAATCCGCACCACTTCAACACAGCTAATTACACGGTGAGCTGCCTGCGTCACCAGCCAGTTACTGTGTACAAACTTGGGGACCACACCTTACCAAGAGCGTGACCTAGGTGTACTGGTACAGGAAGATCTCGGATGCTCAAAACAAGCAGTGAAGCGGTCGAGAATTGGCAATCAGCAGAGCATTTAGTCGGTTTGACCCCTCAATCTTCCCCCAAATGCTTAACGCCCACGTGTTACCGCAAGTGGAATACGTCATCCCAGCGTGGCACCCGTGGCAGAAACACGATATAGTTGCTCTCGAGACTCCTCAAAGAAAAACGTTAGAGGCCTGTTCCATCCCATATCAGTTTAGAGTGAAGTCTCTAAAAATGTACGGCAGTCGATATGGGCGTTTGCGTAGTGATAATGTAATGGTTTACCAGATTCTGAAGAACCCAAACCACATTTTTCGTCCGCTGCTGGAACTGGAGCACAACACCAACCGAAAATGTTATCCTTTGAAGCTGACACTATAGTATGGACGGCTGCAATGCCGTAGAAATTTTCTCTCACTTCAAGTGAGCCAGCCGCGAAACGTTATCCCAACTTACATTCTCTGCCCAAATCTAACAATATTTAAAATCGACTTGACGAGGCATTGTCCCATTCGCATTTCATTTTATAACTTGTATTAGAAATGAATGTACACAAAGAGACCAAAAGGCGTTTCCAAAATTCCGACCACTGGATTTATACTTTCGTCACACGAACATCTCGTCCCTTTTAGCATGTCTGTATACAACCACTAATATCAATAATGATAATAATATGCATATTTCGCCTGATGCCGAGTCTAACAAAACGATTTGCATTTTATCATGAATATTTATTTTCTCAACAATTTCCATCCCACGAGGCCTGTTAAGCATTGCTTTTCTTACACGCCATACACCACTGTTCCCTACACACATATATACTACCACAGGATTTTTTTAAATTACGGCAAAACCTTTCATATTTGAAGTCGTCCGAAATGGGTAAGTGTAACCGCAGCTTCACTGAGTGTCTAGCCTAGACAGCAGACAAAGCATTTCGAAAAATAGCGGTAGCAGTTCCAACATAGTCACACAACCTAGCTCTCACATTCACACAATTTTGGTAATGTCATCGCATATCGAGCTGCTCGGGGGTGGATTTTCGTCTGATAGACCACCCACAAACGACCTATCAATGAACTATCTATAAACCAAAGCTCCCACTCCTAGCACATAAGTGGCCTTCCGAATTTGTGCAGTGTGCAACAGCTCTCCAGGTATTAGGGCAAGTCACGTGGACAACAGCTCAGAGGGACACCCTCTCCCCGGGAACACGTGTGTGGCCACTAGAACTGGGCGAAAATTTAATCTACTTGTCTGGTAACAGGTGTGCAATTGGTGGTGGATACGCAAATCGGAGCTATGCTGATTAGCCTGGCTAGCGTATGCTTCTCGGCACAGATTACTTACCGCCGACCACCCGTCAAGGACTGGATATCGTACACGCGGAGTACGCCGCAACTGACATGGTTTCACTAGCGGAACGGGGCGTTTAGCCGGACGAATTGTATACTGAATTGATGTGTTACTTCGAAAATACTCGAAAAACTCATTTTTCAAACGCAACATTGAAACATGCCCAGAAAGTGTGTTGCCCAAGGAAGAACACCGATGAAACCGGTTGTGGAAAGAGTTTACAGCGATAATTCTCCCGAAACAACCAACATGTGTCGGATGAATGTTCTGATAACTTCGGTCAAAAAGTAAATGATTCGTTCCAAAAGCCCAGCGTCTATGTTGTTACAAATATAAGGGCGCCTCGTGTGAAACCTTGATTACATCCAACCATGAATGATGATGGTGCTATTGAGTAGAGAGAAAAAACACTGCACGCAAAATCCTGTGTTATCCGTTCGGTTCAGTATTGGTGTGCACCAGTCAGGCAGAGAATTCGTTTCGCACTGTATTCACTGAACGTGTTCTTCCAAATGACTCTACAACGTACGGCGCTTCGAAGCCAATATGGATGCACTCTTGAGAGGAGGATGCTATTTCATCGACACATGTTGGAAAACTCCATCTCAACTATCGGACAGATTGCCTACAACTTGATAGGCAAAAAGTTCAGACAACAGTGGTGTTATCAACGACCGTGGTCTACGTGTTCGTGTGCAGCTACCCAAAGATTGAGGAATGGCGATACAGAGCTCGCATAGCTACGTCAAACTTGTACATACTTCGTCCGGGCTCACGTCAGTTATGTTGTTATTGTGCGGCGACTCCCCAATGACGCTGCATCACCCACAGCCTCAATCTGCGGTGAACCAACTAAGCTCTCCCCGTCTAAAGCCACGCTGAGCACAAGTGAGTCTTCCTCACGACATTACCACAGCGTGGAAACTCGTGCACTGCTAACATTCGCCTTCCTCCATACTTTACGATTGATCTAGAAATATAAAGGTGTGGAAGACAAGATTTTCCTTTGACTAAGTCAGTAAACGAACTCTTGCTATCGGTCAGTCTGTCTTTTGTGGATCTCGGTGCAGCCGTGCGAGATTACGGGCTTTGTCCCTAGTCACAGCTCGTGTTTACCTCTGGACATACCCATCCGAATTCAATCGGAGAGATTGCAAGTGGAGTACTATCGCTGAAGAGCGTTTCGTCTGGTTTGACTAGGAGTCGAAACAACTAGAACGTGTTATGACAAATGGTTGTGAATTTCTCGATTTCACGAGAAGATCCGGAATTAGAGACGTTTTCATTTTCTTCCACGGATAAATTAGCGCAAGACACACTATCATTCAAGATGTGGACAACGAAAGTAAGGTTTCTGGATCATGTATAAAGTAAGCACTTTCTTTGCAAATGCCAGATATTTAAATTCAGGAGACTGACGCTTTGCTGTTCAGTGGCTTGAGCCCAAGTGGCTTATGGTTGGGACGGAAAGTACAGTTGGTGGTACAGCTCCGGGGTTCAATGCTATCCTCCGCAAACTTACAACATGTATAAAAGATGAATCGAGCTAAATTGAACCTAGCAATCAGTCCCGGTGATTCGCCGTCGTCAGCATAACTCAGTGGCTGAAATCACTGGATGAAGCACATGAGTTGCTGCGGGTTCCAGTACCGGATGAGATCCAACAAGATGAAACGGCCGTCCAGCGTCTTGTGGATGCGCGTAGAATGTATGTGAACAACGCAGACTGAAATACTCAGCGAACAACCAGCTAGCCACACTTATGCGGGGGTTCGCTTTCAATTGTCAAATCGTGGCACTCCTGATTGAGCAACTGTAACTTAGGGGAAAGTAAGGTTCTTTATCAATCTCAAAAGAGCGGGTTATTTTTTCTTGTAAACTCCTTAAGAAGTGTGCACTGACGATGCCACCTAATCTCTGGTAGCGCGAAACGGCTGCAGCCGAAATTCTCAGCCCGAAGAACAACTTGCCACTATCGCTCACAGTGAACTACATGTATTACCGATCATTGCCAAACCTATCCTCGCCTCAGGAGGTTGAAGAAGGCACCATAGAAATAAACAAGAAATAGAATACTAGCTGCTGAGCTACCCAAAAATATTTGTGGTTTCTGTACGTCCAACAAGTTAGCTAACCATGAGTAGCTCATGTGGTCCCCGTCCGGGTGCATCCCATGCTTGATCGGAAGCCAAAATGAAACAAGAACCAGTAGCCGAAAACAACAAATGGCTGAACGATGACGGAAATTACAGGAGCAAAAGGGAAGGAAAATAATCGTTACGGCCGTCGACTGAAATCCAAAGGCAACAAAAAGAGTTGACCAAATGTATAGAAGAAGAATTGTTGGTGGAGACCAATCACCGAGAAGAAACAGCGTGATTGTATGGGTTCACAAGTTCAGAGTATGAGATAAAATACGGCCGATCGGCATTCATCCAGTAACGTTGAGATGGGATTTGTTCGAATCTGAAATTCCATAGGAGATAATAAGTGGGAAAACAATTTGCAGTCAGACACGAAAATATTGACCATCTGATTGCAACCCCATTAATTCCTCGTTTCGCAGTCTTGACGCAACGTGAGGAGCTAAACGTTCGAGAAGAGGACGTATAAAAGGCTCAGTGGCCAGCATAGCACCTGGAAGAAAAATCAAAACAAGTAACAGAAGGGCGCTGAAGACGGAGACACGCTTCGTCACTGCAAGTAATATGGACCCGTAAAAGGCTCAGTGGCAGAAGCCGCTGAAAAAAACTACAATTTGGGGCAGCCAAATGGGTTCTAATACAGAAGGATTGAATGTGCGTTGCGGACGAATCCAACTATACCACGCACTAGGAAAACACGGCTGTCGTGGCCGTGCGAAACAACGTGAGACGACGCAAAATAGAAAGTACCAAGTGATAAAATCGAACGTTACTTTGGTAACAAAGGGTATGTCAGTGAAATAAAAACTCAGCAGTTACAACGATGTTGACCAGTTGAAGAAAATATCTTGTGGTAGGGAGTGCAACATCACGAAAAAAGCATCTTGTATAGAACGAAAGATGAAAACTCAACCCATTGAAATTCGCAAGGAGGCTGTTGCAGTAGATTTGGATAATTGCAGTGATTCGTCCTAGCAACCCTCAATCCTGAAAAACACCAGACGATCGTTTCGCCCTATTGAGGCTCATCGGTGGTGTGCACACTCCCTTGACTCCTTTCAGAGAATCGAGCTTATGCATTGGTAATAAAAAATTCGCACTCACAGACTGGTGTGCCGTGAAAGTTATTGGAGATATTGGTAGTAATCTGCATGGCGGTGGACGATAGGCTGAGGTATATCCCAGTAATCCAAACATTCGCATTCACAGTCTTCAAATGCCATGGGGACATAGCTACTGTGTAATGAAAATCGTAACCTCGGGGGCCAGCTACTGTCCTCTGCAATGGTAGGGACCTGCATGGCAGTGGAGGATAGGTTGCGCTATATCACAGTTAGCCTGAAAGTTTAAATGGTTTGCCTCCGTCTCCCGTGTCTCAGTGGCATAAGCTGCTGGCTAGTTAGCGCAAGCTGCTAACGATAGTGGATCCGGTTCCCTTCAGGGAACTGAGGGAATGCGCACTGTTGACGAGGCTAAACAGTGCATGGCGGTGGAAGATAGACTGGACTATATTCCAATTAGCTTGCAAGTTGTGATGGTCTGCCACCGTTCTCAATGACCCAGTGGCATAAGCTGTCAGCTATTTGGCGCAAGCGGCTAGCGGTCATGTGTTAGATGCACAGCAGAGAACCGAGGGAATGCACACCACTGACGTTCCCCAATAGGGCGACACGATCGTCTGGTGCTTGTACGAATTCGGGCCAGACTAATCTGGAGTGTGAAGAGCTGGGATGAACCATTAAAACATCATCAAGAATCCTCTCACTCACCAGGAACCTAAACATTTGCTATTACAGGCATGAAATACCATGTAGACATAGCTACTGTGTAGCGGAAGTCGTAGCCTCGGCAGCCAGCCACTGTCCTCTGCATTGGTAGTAAGTTGCATGGCGGTGGAGGATAGGGTGAGTAAGTTGTGATGGTCTGCCACCGTTCTCAATGACCCAGTAGCATAAGCTGCACGCGGTTATGGGTTCAGTTCACTGTAGTGGACCGAGGGAATGCGCACCACAGATAAGCCTCAATAAGGTAAAACGGCCGCCTGGTGCTTATTCGGATTGGTAGTCAGATTGTCTGGCTTGTGAGTAGTTGGGATGAATCAGTAAGCGCTTCATTCAAAATACTCAGGATCATTAGTAATGAACCACTGTGCTAAGAGCACAAATGCAAGCTGATGTGATCGCACCCGGAAACGTTGTGAAAATACTTAGGCACAGTGATCGGTGTTTAGGAGAAACAACGTCCAGATAAGAAAAAATACAGTAATTACGTAAACTCTCGTGGTCTACTTGACAAGCCGCTTTAGGTATGAGCAGGATGCTTTTAAACATTTTAATACTTCGATTACAATTCAATCTGATTTATGCCAAAATCTCGGTGGGAAATATAAGCGGAAACATCCAGTTGGTTGACAGCAGAAATATATGATTACGTTTCTTCAAATAATCCGCTTTTGTATAATAACTTATGCGCGTCCCATGTGTGGAAAAATTGATGAGAATCGCGAAAGCTGGGAGGGCGAGGATCGAGGAATAAGAGGAGTCACCGTTAATGTATCTTAAACACAATTATCGATCTTTTCGAATGACTTCTAAAGAGCTCGCATGTGATGCGAAGTAGTGGCCCGCGAGATCAGGAAGTGGAAGACAAACACCTCCAGTTCGAATTCCATTGTGCACTGTGGTTGGGTCCTCTACTTGCAGAGTTGAATATGTAACCCTGAGTAGAGCAACAATGGTCGGCCAGGACAGCAGATAAACCGGAGTCCTTTCCTCGCTGCAGTGTAGCAGGGAACAGAGAAATAGTATGCAATGGCACAATGTTCAATAAACTGCCAAAGTGCACAAGGAAGTAGAGGGCGTTACAAACACTACCGAAACGGCACAGAACATCCAAAGTCAGGTATGAGTGGCTAGATTTGTTGGTATTTGGTGTATTTGACAGATGCTGTGCTTAGCTTGGCGGAGAGAAGCCCGCATCAAAAACTTTGACTATGATGAACATTGAGTCAGAGAAAACTTTATATGGCATAATAAATGCCAAACATTATTGCTGGGGGCAAACCGGCCAGAATTTCGAGGAAGAACTTGCATTCGACAAAAAGACATACAGGGGTCTTGACCACAAATAAGGCAAGAGGTCCACAGGTGAGGGAAACAGGAAAATACATCTACAAACTATTTTGAGTGCATTTTTCGTCATTTTGACTATTCACAGCACTACATGCATGAAGTGGAAAACAATTGATAATCTGCCAATGAATAACACTTCAAATCGTGTCGTTGAATGCCCCGAAATAACGAAAGTGCATGCATATTTTTGAGGACGTTCGTTGCCGCCACTAGGTCTGACAGCCACGATAGGTCCAGGAAAACGCTAGACGGTCGTTTCATCCCATTGGGACTCATCAATAGCAAGCATCCGCTGGATCCACAACACCTGACCCTAGTCTTAAGAGTCAGCGGCTTAAAAAACTGAACAATGGGTGACGGTGGCCGGCCGCCCTGACTACTTCCTATTTTCGATATAACAGGCTCGTGCTCCACTGTCATGCATGATAATGAACGTAAAAGGGATAAGATTGGACTTTAGCACTACGACTACCCTTGCAAGCAGTCACCAATTCAAGTGACACGTAAGCAAATACTGGCAAATATTGATTACTAAGAAGTAGCAGGTGGAGCTCTGGTTTTGAAACAACTTCATCGCACGAAGACAGTCTCATAGATCAGTGATGGATATGACAGTATCCTAAAAGCTGCTCCGTTGCGAATATGCTATCCGCATACAATGTGCAAAGAAAAACTCGTACATACTTTAACCCTGCCTTGGTCTCAGACCAACGCGACTAACAATGGCAGTCACGCCACTTCACCTGACTTCGCCTCAATCAGGTAGACTTATCGATTAGTTACTCTGCTTCAGTGACCCACTGAATTTAAGCCCATTACATCTATGCTAGCTTGCTTTATCGTGGTTGTATTAGCCTGACGATGAAGCCCTGAAAACAATATTGTTTGCTACTTGCTGTTTGTGATATCTGCATACTATCGACAGTGAGGTGAAAACAGCACGTTCTTCAGGAGTGCAATCCCCGAGACGGTTAGCAGTAGGCTAATCTCATGGCAGCTGGCGCATACATCGCGAATGTCAGCCTCGACAATCGGGACGAGAACGAACACATTACAACAAAAGGACAGCTTTCCACCATTACAGGCGTTGGGTAACAAAGTTGGTAACTGCTCGATGATAATCAGAAGTACATTCTGAACAATCCAGGAGGAATTTTAGCTACACTTAGCGTTTACACTCGGTTCCAGAGTATAATATGAAGGCAGACCGCTGTTTTTTACGCAGTTCTGGTGATACAGTACGCGGCGTACGCCCAAATGCTCAGAAAAAATGCCAATCGAGCCAAGAGTAAAGAAGTACTAGACAGCAACTTTATGCGATGCCGTGCAAATCTGACCAATTCCTTAAGCCAGTCTCACATCAGTCGTCTTTCAATCAATACACCGGGCGTTACAAGTGCGTACAAGGATTTCTGTGGAGCAAATGCTGGCCAGTTCGGCTACCTCTTCTATTGTTGCCAGTCTGAGCGATTAGTAATTTCGGTCTAACAGACGGGATCCAGGATACGAGCAACTTTAATTTGATAGGTACTTTCTTTATAGAGGTAACAATGCTTGAAAACGACAACAGGGTGTGAAGAAAGAAACTTCTCAACTATTAGTGTCACCGCCTGCTGTCGCTTACCGATGAACCAGCTGTCTTCTATTCGATGTATGTTGGATCGCTGCAGAGGAGTGGGACCTGCTTGACTACCCATCAAACCGAGGCGGGTCAGAAAAGAAATCGGCTACCAGCTTCTAAACCCGTCCCTTACCTAGAGGAGGGGCGAATGAGCAAAAGAAGGGTTGTCTATCTAAAGTGACACGTTCCATGGAAAACCATGGATCTACGTATACCATAGTTTACCAAGTCAGTCACCTCAGTTATCAGGACGCTAACTGATCAGCTGTGAATAAGCACAATTACTTGGATCTGATGGTGCTAACGGTTTCAATGGTGCAGGTCCTCGTTCTGATTAGATCCTCGGCGTAAAGACACTCATGGAAGTTGTGTACAAGGCCGGTCTGGCGTTTGGTATCTTTCCTGGGCTTAATCACAAGAATCAAGTGCCGGTCTACTGTAGGACACTGGAGTAAAAGCAACCAGTTCGATGGGAGCGGGTTTAGCATTAAGTCATCAAGCAGATGACAAAATGTCAGGTCTGATTACGACTGACAACGTGCAGTTCGGCGTTGGAGATCAATCAGGATTAATAAACGTAGCGAGGAGTAGCTCAACCTGTTAATCTCCACGTATGGTTGACTGCGAACTTCATCATATTTAGAGTGAAGTCAACAAACTGAACAAAACAATTCTGAGTCAGACAGCAATAGACTGCGCCGCTCTTTCAATAATCGGTATCAGCACAGTGACGGTCAAAGT